GGGTGAGTAAGGAGCTTCGGCCGAGACCGTGCAAACTATACGGTATGGCATGAGGCGCCCCCTTTCGGCTGATGTTCCTGCCGAAACCACTTTTTAGACTCCTGCAGAAAAAATATGAACACTGGCGTTCGCCTTTCGAGAATGGCGAAGCTGTATTATGACACTAGGTGATTATATTTTGCCAAGTTTGTCTGCTTTGCGCGATTCTTGACTTGTATTTTTTTCTTTCCCCTTTTCCCTATTGTTTTAGCGGGGATTTCGCCGAAAGTCATGCGTTCGGCCCCCTTTTGGGGATTGGCGAAAAGATTTGTTGACTTTTCAGCTTTCGACTTCCGTTTTCGACTCGTAGCATTTTGCGCTGGGAAAAACGCTTTTGTTTTGCGTAAGTTAAATGTAACGGCGTTCAGTATCTTTATTCCGAAACAAGCTGTCACGGTTTCAACGTTCGACGAGCGATGCTTCGGCCGATTCGTTTTGCCCCCCTGGCGTTTTCGTCGATCAAGCGTTTGCCTTTTATGTAGCTATGTGGTTGTCAAAATGGCGAATTGGAGGCGAAGACATCCTGGTCGAACCTTAGAGGATTACGACCGATGCCACATCCAGCGCCGCGATGACATTGCCACACTTTGGTTAGAGTTCGAAATGACTAATCGTCAAGTTGTTATCCCTTGACGTCGGTGTGTATTTCGCTTCCTTCCCCCCTTAGAGTCGTGTACAGTATAGATGACGAACCATGTTCGCGGGACTTAGTAGGGGCGAGGCAAAAATGTTCTGAAACGGATGATGTAATTTTTTGCTCCTTTGTATAACACGTATGTGCTTTTGCCCGATGGAGCTTGTGCGTGTTTTTATGTTTCTTTTCGCTATCATGCATTTTGTAACTTGTACGTTTAGAAGGGCGAGGCGTGTCGGCCCCCTTGCGTGTTAGCGAAAGGAATTCACATTGACTTTTCAGCCCTCATCATTCGCTCTCGACTTTTGGCATGTGCATCCAGAAATGCTTAAGTATTTGCATAAGTCGAGTGTAGCGACGATCGGTATGTTTTCCAAAAACGAGCTGTCGCGGTTTCAATGTTCCGCGAGCTGTGCTTCGGCCGATTCGTATCGCCCCCCTGGTGTTTTCGTCGATCAAACGTTTGCCTTGGGGTTTTTCCACGAAATATCATACACAAAAAAGGCGAAGACACCGATGAATTTTATATGACTGAGCGTCAGTTTTCCATTGCCCAGCGTCGACGCAGCATAATCCCCGTTTTTCCTTCTTCACCGCTAAATTTTTTTGTGTTGATCTAACAACTAGCGATGAAGAAGAAGCTCAAGTGGGTAGTCCTTCGCCATTTGAGGACTGCTTTTGTTAATGAATCGGATGTAAAGTCCGAATGCCTTTTGGCGGGCAATGGAATTTATCTGTAACTTGTGCTTTTTGGCAAATAAAAGGGGTGTGGTGCATGTTACGGCTGTTCGGCTCGTACTTTCCCCTTTTTGCCTTTGGCAAAGGTATTTTTAGGTACTTTGATCGTTTTGACCATTGTCGGCTTTCGGTCTTTTTAGCACTTCGACCTTTTTAACTGTTACCGGCTTTCGGTCATTTCTTTAGTGCTACTAGGGTTTTGTCGTTCGTCCCTTTCGGCTGCCCTGTTTGTCTGCGGGTGTGCAACCGATGCGAACTCGATTTCAAGTTTTAGCCCCTCACACATTTCCTTGGACTTCTCGGAGTCAAACCGCTTGTTATTGCCGGTAATGAACTCTTTCGGCACACCGAATCGGCAGAAAATGCTTTTCCGAACGGATTTTTACACTAGTGCCGAAGGTACTGCCTTAGCCCATCGAAGGCGGCTTGACACTCAGGTGTCCAATTGAGTTTGCCGGCCCCTCGGAGCATCTTGAAAAATGATAAATCTCTTTCGGCTGCTCTGGGGAGCAACTCCTTAACTCATTTTCGCCCCTAGCCCTTGTCGCCGTACCTCGTTGGTACTGTGGCGAAAGGCGTGGGTGTGGCGAAACCTGTTCGCCCGCAGCCCTTGGCGCCGTACCTTATTGGTACTATGGCGAAGGGCATGGCGTGTGGCAAAAGCTGTTCGCCCGCAGCCCTTGACGCCAAACCTTATTGGTATTGTGGTGAAGGGCATGGGTATGGCGAAAGGCTCTAGAGGCTAGGGTGGCCTCATAGCCCCCGAGCTTGGAAGCAACTCATTTCCGTCCCCAGCCCTTGTTGTCGTACCTTGCGGGTATTGTGGCAAAGGGTGTGGGTGTGGCGAAAGGCTCCAGAGGCTAGGGTGGCCTCGTAGCCCCCCAGCTTGGAAGCAACTTATTTTCGCCCCCATCCCTTAATGCCATACCTTATTGGTACTATGGCGAAGGGTGTGGCGTGTGGCGAAACCTCTTCGTCCGCAGCCCTTGACGCCGTGCCATATTGGCACTATGGCGAAGGGCGTGGGTTGGCGAAACCTGTTCGCTCGCAGCCCTTGACGCCGTGCCTTATTGGCACTATGGCGAAGGGCGTGGGTGGGCGAAACCTGTTCGCCCGCAACCCTTGATGCCGTACCTCATTGGTACTATGGCGAAGGGCGTGGGTGGGCGAAACCTATTCGCCCGCAACCCTTGACGCCGTACCTCATTGGTACTATGGCGAAGGGTATGGCGTGTGGCGAAACCTCTTCGCCCGCAGCCCTTAACGCCGTGCCATATTGGCACTATGGCGAAGGGCGTGGGTTGTGGTGAAAGGTGTCCAGAGGCTTGGGCGGCATCGTAGCCCCCCAGCTTGGACTTAACTCACTTTTGCCCCCAGCCCTTGTCGCCGTACCTCGCAGGTACTGTGGCGAAGGGTGTGGGTGTGGCAAAAGGGGTCCCATTTCGCCCTTTCGGTCTGGGTTCCCCACGGACGGTGCCAGCTGTTGTCGAATGGACAACTATGCCACGTCGAAAGGCATGGTTCTCTCAACAGTAGTTGGAATGTAAAAGCAATTGTATTGATTCATAAAATTTTTTGGGGATCCCCCCATTACATGTCCCTAGAGGTTTATTTATAGCCTTAGCACAAGCTTGCACCTTCTAGGGTTTAGGGTTACAGGGGATTTTACATGGTTGCCCTTATGAAAGGGACATTTACATGGGTATGCAATGTCATTTGCACATATGGGCCTTTAATGGGCTGATAGGCTGGGCCTGGTCTATGGCAAACGGGCCTAAAAGGCTGGGGGAGGCCTGTTGGGCATCCTTGATGCCAAACTCGTCATAGCGAAGTCTCTGTAGTTCGCCCGAGATACCTTCGCCCGAGATGCCTTTACTTTCGGAGTACCGACGCGGCTTTCCAGCCTTCGCCATCTTCGCTTATGGCTTTCGCCATAGGGCTTCGCCTGAATGGTCTTGATGTCTTTGGCTTGAATCCTTACTGGTACTATGGTTTCGGCAGGTCCGGCCGAAGGGCTTCATGGCGTGCCTCCAACACCAACTATTAAAACTGGTACAATTTTACTCCCTCGGTGGTTTGTAGGGCGGTTTCCATGACATAGCGTTGACGTGGCAGGGTTGACTCGATCCTCGTTCCACGTGTAGTTGACGTGGTGCTTATGTGTAATAGAATTAAAAAAATATGTGTGAGACCCATTTGTTGACAGGGTTAAGTCAAAAAAATTGGGACCGACTAACATGTGGGGCCCACATGGCATCCTCTCTACTTCCTTCTCTTTGTCCCCTTAGGAAGAAGGAAAGAGGATGCCATGTGGGCCCCACTTGTTAGTGGGTCCCACAATATTTTTGCATGAATGACAAATGGGTCCCACACATATTGTTTAATGGTAATACACATAAACGCCACGTTAACTCCACGTGAAACAAAGACCGAGTCCACACTGCCACGTCAGCGCCATGTTAGTGAAACCGTCCTCTAAAACCACCGAGGGAGTCAAATTGTACCGGTTTTAATAGTTGGTGGATCGAAATATCTGGTAGTGGTTCAGGGATGCGAATTAGATTCGGTCACTACTTAAGGGACTCAAAGTGAACTTATTCCTCGCCGCAAAGGCTATGTACTGCTTCTGGGCCCTGGACTTATGGGCTTAGCGGGAGCAAATTAAGGAAAGCCTTGTCAGTGGCCAGCCTATTAACGGAAATCCATGCAGCCCAATTCAACGGTCGTTCAGAGTATAGACCATTACAACACCTTGATGTTGAACTAATCTTTGGTCTAGCGTTCTTGGAAGGAAAGGGGAGGAAAAATAACATCATGATTCATGAACGACCTTAATTATAAATTAACTTTTGACAGTTTCATATATAGTCAGTCACATAGCTTGCACACGACACGAGCCATGCATGGAAATTAATTAATTAATCTCGCTGTCGACGTCAAAATTAAAAATACAACTACGAAGGAGCAAGTGTTCCTCTCACCATGCAAGATTTCCTTAGATTTGAGTTGAGTCATGATCTGATAGAAAGAGAAAAGAGATGGAAAAATACCTGTAAAACCTATATAATAGCGCACCCTTGAATCAATTAATCAACTGCTTTAGTAGTTCTTACGTGGAAGGTTTGTTCGGAGTAATATATGAGTGCCATGAGAAATGTCCAGGATGTTTTCCTCAACATGACCAGACGAAGGTTTGAACATTAGCATGAAAATTCTGTCAAAATCATGGACATGTATGAAACAGCTAGAGATCCGATGGTCACTAGTCACCACGTACGCGAAATTTCCAAGCTCTCATCACTCTAATCGTTTTTTAGGACGACATTTGATCGCGAGTCTAAAAATACCTAGATTACACAACAGCAGAACTTATGTATATGTACGTTTTCTTAAACACAAATATGTGGGATAGTACTAAAAAAATGGCTTGTAATTAACACGAAATTATTAGGTACAAATTAAAACATTTACAGCTTACATGACTAGCTACTGCTTTGTAGTTTCCCATCACATCGACCGTAATTACCTTAGTGCAAATTCTACATATCTATATAAGCAACATAAACATACAAAGCTAGCCAAAAATAATTGTCCGAGCTCAAAAGGCAATATAGATAGCCAAGCTTACAAAAGCACCAGCACAACAAATTCGATCTCTTGAAGCTAGCTTTCTCAACAAGATCCCTGCGAAGAATGTCCAGCTCTAAGGGTATGATTTTTCCGAACTTGTGTGGATGTATTTGTGATATTCACTAATATTATTCCACTCTAACCATTCGTGGATGTATTACTAATTAATTAGTGCAGGACTTAGTAGCTCTGTGCCTCCCCAAGGTGGCTCTGGTGCATCCAAAAGGCATACGGACACTCATCATGAAGTGACAAACCTTCCAGGTAAATATTTTTTCTCTTCCAAATTTGTTCAATCCAGCCATTCAGAAGGTAGGACTTATGTGTGTATATATATATATATATATATATATATATATATATATATATATATATATATATATATATATATATATATATATATATATATGTTCCAAAAGGCAGTATTATCAATGATATCAATCTATCCCAATTGTTTCTTCTCAAAATACCCTAAAATAAAACATAATTAATTTACTACATGATTCATTTTGAATTCTACCTTTGAACGTAAATAATTTTTGTTGTTGTTTCGCCAGATGAATTCCTTTTCCCGTGCTACTTAATTTGTTCCAAATTTGTTGCTTCTTTATCCGAGTTACACATTTGGGCTGTGTTTAGATCTAGGGGTAAAAAGTTTTGGCGTGTCACATCAGATATACGGATACACATTTGAAGTGTTAAATGTAGAGTAATAACAAAACAAAATATAGATTCCGCCTGTAAACTGTGAGATGAATTTATTAAGCCTAATTAATCCGACATTAGTAAATATTTATTGTTGCACCATATTGTTAAATAATGGAGCAATTAGGCTTAAAACATTAGTATTGCAATTTACACACAGTCTGTGGAATTAGTTTTTTATTATGTCTATATTTAATACTATGCATGTGTCCAAGCAATCAATGTGGCAAGGTGAAAAGTTTTTGGGTGGGAACTAAACATGGCCTTGGTGTATATATTAGGAAGAGGGCTAATATATAGTAATTAACTACCTCCGGATTTAAATACATCATACTCTCTAACTTTATTTAGGCAAAACTATTAAAACTTTGACAGCTCTTAAATACCAAAACAAAAAATCCATATGTGGATAGATTTTTACTATAAGTACTTGTACAGTATTATGATATTGTTAGATACTATATTATATTCTACTAGATAAAGGCAGTGTTCATATGCAGTAAAGTCCAAATAATGTTAACAATGTCGTATATTTTAAGATAGAGGTATTACAAGAAACTCATTTATGGCAGGTAGATATATAGACTATTACACATTAATTGGCATACATATAATGGTGATGATACACATATTGCCTAGCTTAGCTAGGTTGTTTAAAGAGTAAAGTACACGGCCGGTCCTTAAACTTGTAGGGTTGTGTCATCTAGATCCCTAAATTTGTCATCTTAAAACACAGATTCAGGTCCCAAAACTTGTCAAAGTGTGTCATCTAGGTCCCAATTCGTCACAGCCCCTCTAGAATCCTACGTGGCACTAATGTGGCATGCCACACGGACGTGACGTGGCATCATCTTGACTAAAAAATTGGACCCACATAAAAATTTTCCTTGTTTATCTTCTTTACTTCTCCTTCTCTTTTTTCTTCTTTTCTTCTCCTTTCTCTGGGACCCTGTGGTGCCCTACAATTTCAGTGAGAGGAACGAGAAGAAAGGAAAAAAAATAGAAGGAGAAGAAAAAGAAAAGGCAAGAAGAAAAAAGGAAAATTTTTAAGTGAATCCTATTTTTTAGTTAAGATGATGCCACGTCACATCCGTCCGGCATGCCACGTCTGCGCCACGTAGAATCCTAGAGGGGCTGTGATGAATTGAGACCTAGATGACACACTTTGACAAGTTCTAGGACCTGAATATGCATTTTGAGAGTTTGGGGACCTAGATGACACACCCTTACAAGGTTAAGGACCGCTTGTGCACTTTACTCTTGTTTAAATTCGTTGAAAATAATCTGTAGACCATCCAACTTGTGCAAACATGTAGGATCGAAAGGTTTTCTGACACCTCGGAACAACAACCAGCAGCCCTACAATGGTCAAGGTGCTCACAGCCTCACATACGGGTTCAAAACATTTGCCACAAAAGTAAGTCAACTGGGTGTTGTCCTAATTGATACAAATAGCATGACAATTTCTCTGTTCGTTTGTTGTTAATTAAAGGACTTGTTATGGTGCAAGCATCAGCATGTTAATTAGGCTTGAGAAACACACTGATCGACATGTATATTTTTGTTTTCTCATCAGGCAAGGGCAGGTCCAAATTGGTTGTATAAGCCAAGAACCAAAATGAGCAGGGATTATCAACACTTATTCATTGTTCATTCCTCTGTGAAGATTACACTGTACATATGTATATAGGTGATACGACATACGCAAAATATTATTGTAAATAGCTGTGCACCAAGCTAGGTCATTATATCCACATCCATGGGAAGGAAAAAATAGTTCAAACATGTTATTTGTTGAAATTTGTTGTATACTCCTTAAAATGGGGAGTTTATATATCTTCAAAAGTATTGTACAGCACATATTGTTCAATGTAAATCCTCACAGCGTTACTTTTTTTTGTTTCCAACAACCATGTTAACAGAAAGTTTTGTGCTCTATATATGAAGTACTATCCTCACATCCGAAGACATATAGATATAGCTTGTACGGATATTCTGGTTCCTCACCTCCCCATCTATAACCATACTCGGGCATATTTCTTTGCACATTTACATTTAAAAAGTTTTTATGGTGACAATGCACTACTTCCAAAATAATTTATACAGGCAATCAATATATTTTCATATGCGGGTGAGTAAACCATTTATCAATTCGGGCATGTACTAGAAATTGATGATTCAATTAGGGCATCTACAAGAATAAGTAATTTCCTTGGCAGTTCTAACTGTTAAAAATAAGTAATTTCTTGGCGGTTTCTCGGCAGCCAAGGAAAGATATATTCTTGTCCGTCCAGACCAACAAGGTTACATATCTTGGCGCTTTAGAAAGCTCGTAATCTTCTTAATTTGCTTGGCGGTCCGACCGCTAAGAAAAAATTTCCTTACGGTTAGCAGCCAATAAATCTGAATATTTCTGGCTTTCTAGACTTGGTGATCAGCCAACGGAATAATGAACCTTGGCTGTTTTTATGCTATATTTAGCAGTTTTTGAACATCAAGAAAATTACAGTTTCTTAAAATACTATTACTCCTATTTTCTATGGTGGTTCCTTAAGAGAATCATCTAAGAAAATCAATTTTTACAAGTATTTTTTTCAAGAGAACCATATATTAAAAAACACTAAATTTTAACAAAATCCGCCTATAGAAATCACGATTTTTTAGCTGGTTCTGTATATTAAATCATTTTCTATGTAGTATTAAGCCATGGTTTTTCTTTAGGGTTTAGGCTTTAGGCTTTTCACTTCAAAGCTATTTTAATATGGGAGTACCTATACATCTTTCGAAAGATTTTTACGATCGTATCACACAGATTTTTAATCTTTGGATTAAAATCTGATAGATATAATAAAAAGCAAAAAGCAATTAAGAAACACCGTAATGGACACTAAATTACCATATCCTCGAGAAAAAGACCAAATCCAATACAAAATTTAAAATTTACATGCGAAGATTCAAAAATTACATTGTAACTTACAAAAGTTACAGTGTAAGTTTCATAAATTACACTGTAACTTACAGGAAAATGAACTGTAAATTTGAGTGAAAAAATCGAGTGAGAGATAAGAAAAAATCTTTCGAGTGAGATATAGCAAAATTATTTTAATATTGCCTCTAAACCCTAAACCCTCAAAAATTGCGGTCAAGAAGAGAAAAACCTTCCACGTAGTTAATCATATATTTATAACATATAGTTAGAACCTAACAAGTAAAGCTTAACATTCAAATATATGTGGTACATACCACACAATCAACCACTAAACCACTAGCAAGTATTAGCTCCTAAAGATTAACAACAAGAATGCCATATCATCAGCCACTAGAAAACATGTATTCCACAGCAAAGCACAATGCATCAACTAGTTTTTATACCATTTCCTCCTGCTAATGCATCAACTAGTTTTTATACCATTTCCTCCTGCTAACTGCAATTAAGAATTATTATCTCCTATAAAACATAATTATATCTCCTAGAAGTAAGCCATGCACATAGTGATAATATATTCATGGGTGGCACACGCATTAGTAAGTGGACATAAGCTTGGCCTCCTTTTACGCACATATTCCGCAAACACAAAAACAAGGTGTTGTATCACCTGTAATGGGCCTATGAGTTTGTAACTTCGTCTGGGACCCCGGCCCAAGTGGGGCCCATGTGTGGTGTGCCCCAACCTGGTGGAGAATGACCCTAGAGCACCTCTGGTCATCCTCCCACCATTATAAATAGCTAGGTACCCCTTCAGGGTTTCTCGGGTTTTGTTTAGATGAAAGTTTAGCCATTGCTACTTCCTTGCAGTGCGAGTGTTGGCTAGACCGTCCGTCTGCTTGTATTCGAAACCCCAACTTATCGTGTGTTATCATTCCTATTTACAATTCAGATTGCTTTTATCTTGTTCTTGCTTGTTTCTTCGATTTGCTTGCAGGAATAGGGTTGATTTGCACCGGCAAGATCAACAACCCACGGAGAGGTGTATCAATCGCTAAGGCACAACACAACGTCTTGTACGGTTGTAGTCGGGTCGTCAACGTTTCTCCCAAATCGTAGTTATCATCAACTCACCGAAAGATCAAGCCAACAACAGCTTTGAGTTTTGAGTGGAACTCAGGGTTCATCTGGTGGTATCAGAGGTTTCGTTGCTCGATGAGTTTTTATATACCCATAACCAGAAAATAGCCAGACAAAAAAAATGTATCATTTACCTAGCCATATTGTGCAATTGCATTGTTCTTTTCAGCTTTTGCTTTGTTGAGTTTGCGTTGCATTGTCGAGTCGTGTTGCTGGTCTTAGCATTTAGTCCGTTTAGAGTTTCGGGTTCTGGTCACGTTTAGTACCACTGTCGCCACCATCGTCGTGTCACTGTTGTCATCGAAACCTACGAAAACGGAATCGGCTCGCTGCCACGGTTCAATTTTTGTAGTTTTCAGAAGTTTTTGTCGGTCAGTTTAGCAGTTGCATCTTGCTTTCTGTGTTCTAGTTTGCCTTGTCCCATGGTCGATTGCACTCTGGCGCGTCAGTTGGATGGAAGGATGCTGTTGCGCGTGAGTTGGATGGAAAGAGAAGATTAGATTGGTATTTGTTGGGTTTGGAAAGAAAATAGTAGATTGGATCAGTTTCCTTTTTGTTTTCTCAGTAAATTCGGACTCTATCCTTGCACCGCAGACCACCACTACCGCTACCAAGGGCCCCGTCCGACTCCCTCCCTCTCCTCCCGGCTTCAATGCCGTGAGTTGGTAGACCTTTTGGTGAAAACTTTTGGAGTGTCGGATTAGAGATCTGTTTGTAAAAACGGAATCTATGGGAGGAGAGCATTCTATTTTTGTATAATTTTAATTTCGAGTTTGCACTTTTTTTCATTTAGGTCCCTGTAATTTTTGATATTTACAATACAGTCCCTGTAACTTTGCATTGAGGTCCTTGAGTCTGTTTTTCGTTAAAAAAAATCAAAAAAAGAAAGAGAAAAAAGGCAGAAAGGTGCATTAAAAAAAAGAAAAGAAAAGCCGCACCAAAAAAAAAAGAAAAGAAAAGAAAGGAAAAGAAAGAAAAAAAAAGAAAGAAGAAAGAAAGAAAAGAGAAAATATTGTTATGTTTGAGCTGAACTTCATATATCAGAGTTTGCGTGAGTTGAGTTGTTTCTAGTGCTATCTTGTGGTATCGTTTGTGTCTAAGCTCGTGTCTCTAGTACGTTCTAGCCTAGGATCAGCACGGTACTGACTTTAAACGATTATTCAACTTTGCATTCTCTGATTTGAGCATTTGCTATTCCTTTGCTACATATTTAAGCCTACCCAGAGCTCCACGGATTTGATTCCAGCCGTACGGCAAGTGTTTGCCAAGGCATCGATACATCCAAACTCCGTTGGGGTGCTTGGTTGAGTCGGTGTACGTCACTATTCCGCTTGCTTTGGTAAGAACTTGTAAGAGCTTGGTAAAAAGCTTGAGTGTGTGTGATATTTCAGCTGCCACTACCTAGTAGTTGATAGGAGCGTGTATATTTTTGTGTATATTTCTTTTTTGCTACTAACCATGGCAGGATTGCGCAAGGGGAAACGAGATGGTCATGCTCAACATCAACTTCTTCACCATCAACGAGATATAGCGACTTCTTTACGCATTGCATATGAGGTACATGATAATGATCTTGCAATGGTAGAATCTAAATTGCCAGTTTTTGATGGTAAGTATGATTCCACCGCTTATGTTAATTGGGAGCTAGCAGTAGACAAACAATTTGATGAGTATGATTTCTCTAATGCTCAAATGATTAAGGCTGCTCATAATAAGTGTGCCGGTTCTGCATCTTTTTTGTGGTATACTGTTGGCAATATGCTTGAAACTTGGGATAAATGCAAAACCTTAGTCACAGGGAACGCGGAACATGGGTGAGTTCCTCGTTCCGGGAATTTCATCCCGGAACGAGGAACGGGAACGAAACGGAACTTCGTTCCAAAAACGGAGGGGTCGTCGTTCCAATACGTGGTACGGTGACGGAGGAACAAGAAGGTGGTAGGATGGAGGAATGAATCATGTTGAGCAAAAAATGAGAAGGGGAAATCACCAGGATCTACACTGGTGGAGGAAGGGGCACTGCTTCAAGCGGCGAGCGGCGCTGTTGTTCCTTCGCTGCTCACCGCCGTCATGCCCTGAGGTGGCTATGCCAGCGCACACCGCCGCCATCGAGCAGGGGAGAGGGGCTCCTGCACTGATGCTGCTCCATCGCACAACGGCGAGGACGAACTAACAAAGGGATGAGTGCTAGGTTTTACTTTCGGTGATGGGCTGGGATGTGCTGGATTGCAATTTGCACGCATGCCCAAAAAACGTAGAGAAAATTCCCTACGTATCAGCTGTCACATGACTGGGAAAAAATTGTAACAAAAGGAAAGCAAAATCAAGAAATCAAAAAACATATCAGCTGTAAGACGTTCCATCTATAGCTCCATAATGTTCCGGATTATCATTCCAACAAACTTAGGAACAAGTTCCACCTATAGTTCCGTAATTTTGAAAGAGGTATACCCCTCTCGTTCCATGTTTTTGGAAAATGACATCCCGCGTTCCACGTTCCAGTTCCTCGTTCCATCGATCCGGGAACTATTGTGGCATAGTGCAAAACAATGATGAGGAAAAATTTTGTGTTTTCATATTATAAACGTACTCTCCTTGAGAAATTAGAATATCTAAAACAATGTGACAAAACCGTGCTGGAGTACTTTCATAACTTTAAAATTTGTATCACTTATAGTGATTTAAAAGAAAGCAATGAGAACACAATGACTAGATTTTTTAGAGGGCTTAATTCCGATATTCAGGCTGGGCTTATTAACATGACATATAATCATATAGGCCACTTGTTCATGCTTGCATGTAGTATTGAGAGTAATATTTTAAAGAACCCAAGGGAGAAAAAAGCTATGCTTGTGCCTTCTATTACTAACATTTTGCAGGGAGCTCAGAACACTCACCATGAGG